TATATATATATATATATATATATATATATATGTTATATAATATATATGGATATATCTATCCAAAGACAGAAGTTAGATTTAAGAGTGTTTTTCACATTAATATACCAAAGAGAGGTTATCAACCATGGAATTAAATATTTGCATACAAAATAACATTTCGATGCATAGAATTCTTGTGCTCGGCAGACGAAGAGCGAAAGATTGCTATCCTTAATGGTTTTTCATTTACAGCCCTGTCTAAATTACATGAAATTATTTCTCTATCTCAAGAACTGTCCTAGAGAAGAATCATTCTATACAAAGTGTGTGTGTGTGTGTGTGTGTGTGTGTGTGTGTGTGTATGTATAGGAGGTTGCTCATACAGGTTAGCTCAAAGCTTTTCTGGTGCAGTCTAATAAACTGAGTTCTATGTAAGTGGCAGTCTACCACCAGAAAGAGATGACTTGCAACAGGCTTCTAGCAGCAATGCAGGGATTAAAGATACATGTGACAACAGGCTTCAAAGAGTGGGACAATCCACTCATAATAAAAAGGCCGCTAAGCCTTCATTGAAAGAACTTCTCTGACTCTGAGAATCTTTTCTTTTCACCAAGAAAACTACTTATACTCACGGTTTAATGTCCTAATTTAAGAAATGGAAGACACTAAATTAATATTTAATTTCAATTCCACTGCTATGCCTGTTTTCATTGTCCCTGTACTGCAAACTGCACTGAACAATATAAATCATAGTCCTCATTTCCACCAGACAATCTCATCAACCAAAATGGTGATAATGCAGTCTTATTTTAAAGCCAAAAGAGTTATAAACATCAATCATTTTCAGCTAAACATTAAAAAGAACCCTTTAAGTGTCTTTGAAAGTAGCATCATTATTTTAAGTTAGAGCACAATCACTGAAGGAACAAAGAAACCAAAACCAAATGAAGTCTTTCACTCTTTCAGTTAATTTTAGTGGAAAATAAAACAAGAATTGGATTTTCATCCAGGGTTACAATGGTCCATAAAGTAAAAGGCTTTTGTCAAACGTCGAATCTCTCCTCACTAAGCAACTATCTGAGGCCGTTTTCTGTGTCAACTCATTTCTGCTTCTCTTAGAGCTCTAGTCCTGTCCTAATTATATCTGTTTCATGATCCATGACACGGATTTAACAGACCCACGGGTTAAACTAATGCAGTGACCATATAACACCCAATCTATTCATTTGTCTGTAAAGTGGCAGAAATTCAACCCTTGATTTATAGGACTTGATCTGACTAAATCTCTAATATAACTAATAAAATGTGGTCACTTTCAATAGGATAAATGCCTGGGTATTCTTTTTTAAAATTCAACAACTGATCTTCCACCAAGGCCAAATATCTTATAACTTAACAATCTATAATTGAGAGCTTCCACCAGATTATCATTTCCTAAATATCCCTTCAGTCCATAAGAAAAGCTTCATTCTAGATAAAAACTCCACATTAGTCAACCTTGGTCTTATCATAACTGGATATTCCTGCCTCTAATAGGGTTGGAAAAATACCATTTGGGTACTTGCAACAACTTCTAATACTCTTATAGTCCACCCTCTACATGCTAACGGTCCCTTTAAAACCTTCTGAGTGACATTGATAACATCATTATTTACTTATGTTGAAGCAAGTTTGCTTATTGTTTTAGAAAACTCCTTGTAACTCTCCTTATCTCTCTCTACCTGCTCTCACCTTTCTGAAGACTTTAAAGTAGAAGCAAGACCTTGGCAACAAAGTAATTTATCACATGGTTCAATTTACATCTGTGCAATGGAACAGGTTTACCTGTTTGCTATCTGGCACACAGATCTAAACTGTAACCTGAGAAACAGAAATTACCCCAACTTCATAAAAATGCTGTTTTTAGAAGGCATACTTAAAAACAGAATCTTTTAAAATCAGCGTATAATACTGAAAATCAATATACATGTGTTCTTAAAATAATTTCATCTTTCAGGAGAAAAAAACCCAAACTGTACTGAAGTTCATTTTATATTGCTTCTTCAGATCTCTTATATCAACATTCAACCACAAATACCCTTTGTCAAATGCTTTAAATGTCAGGTTCTGTGCTTACCCAAAGATTAAAAAGAGGATCAACTCAGAGTCTCCACAGACCAAAGCATAAATGGATTTAAAAAATGACAACAGTGGGTGCAAATTCAGGTAACCATACCAAACCCAGTGAAAAGAACGTGGTTCATCTGTGGAGGAATTCTCTAAAATTATCCAATCAATCAGCTTTCTTTTTTCTCTGCAATGATGCACCAGTTGCCATGATCGTTCCCCGAGCTCAGAATATGGAGCTCCGACACGTTCTCCTTCAGCAGGCCACAGAGCTCGCCTTCTCGAAACACGTGGTAGTAGCGCATAAAGGCTCTGGAATCCAAAATGTTGGGCTGTTGTTCTTCAACAGAAATTGTGTCATCTGGGATGGAATCTGTGGAATCGGCTGCAGAAATCTTTCTCAGTATTTTACTAGCAGAAGAGTTCCCTTCATCTAAGTTACTTGCATCCCCACAATTCTCATTAGTATTGGTGCTATCCAGAAAATTCCCATCGCCATTTCTTCTAATTTCCCCTCTATGGTCTCCATTTAGATGTTTCCCTGTAGCTCGTGCTTTTAGCCACTCCAAATGTCTTTGAGATGTTTCCACAAACACTTCCTCATCGGAACTTTGCTCTCTTGTGGAAAATGGCGCTTGGTGATCTAAGTCTAAACTAGCGTGTCTGGCAGGCTGGATTGATACAGTGCTATTGGCCCAGCCTTCTGTGTTTTTCAGGGGTCTCACTCTTTCAATTTGCTTCCTCAGCATTGATTCATCCAAAGAGCGGGAGAAAAACCAGGAACGGAAAGATTTTCCTAATGTGTTATAGAATCCATTCTCTTCCTCGCTTTCCTTAGAAATAGTTGCACAACAGGTACCGGCCATAACAGGTTCATAGCCCACGCTGTGGGACCGTGTGGAATCACATCGCTCCTTAAAACAAACAGAACAGCTACACCCAGAGCAAGGGGGATGGTAGGGGTGGCTTCTTCCTGGATGTTCACATTGCGTCTTTGTCCCAGGCTGGCTGGATTCTGAGAAGAGCCGGGAACATAAGGCCCTGTTCCACGGAACAAGCACATCTTGCTTCTCAAAGTGCCGGTTCTTTTGTTCCATAGCCCAAACATAAATCATCAGCTGGCCTCCAGGAACTAACACTCTGGCCATTTCTTTTATTGCTCTGATTCTTCTTTGTTTTGTAGAAAAATGATGTATAACTGAAAAAGTGGAAACTAGGTCTCAATGTGTATGCATATACATAAGCCTACACATTTACATACTAATATTTTCCATTTACAAATGATGCAATTTGAGATGTAGTAAAACCTCCTTATTTCCTACAGGGCAGGGCATATGGTAGAAATAGCACAGGCCTGGCTTTAGGAGAGACATCATTTTTAGTTTCCATTCCTGTAATTATTAGGCAACTGATTTGGGAAATTATTGAACATATATGGATTTTAAGTATCTTCATCTATATTAAGGTGTCTAGAAGAAATAACATGTAAAATCTCTTCCAGTTCCAAAATCTTATGAGTTTTGTTAACCAGAGGATGACCAGTGTGAATTAATAAAATTCGCAAGGGAGTATTGTTAGGTAAATGTTCCCTCATAGCATCCCATGAAATAAAACATTGCTTTAATGAATGACTGGTACTTCTAAAGCACTGAAATATTAGTACCATGACTCAGTGTTAATAAAATTAATACAGCAAATAGAAGTGGAGAAAAAGGTTAAAGGTCCTTTTTTTTCTGTTTAGCTAATGCAATGATAAGCCAGCCAAGCTCAAGTTCAAATGATTGCTTATCATTTTTAATAATGTTAACATAATATAAAATGGTTGTGTATATATTTTTTAAGTCACTTTATAGGTTATCATTTTTACTTTTAGTCCCTGCAAAGTTAAAGTGAGAGTCAAGCAGGACTGCCTTTATCTAATCTTAAGTGTGTTATTAGGCTTCTTTTTATCAAACAATATACAGTGTTCGTCCGTTAGCTCCTAAGAGAGTTTAATCACAGTACTGTGTTAAGAAAAAACAGCAAATTATTTTTCTACACATGGGCCTACCACATGTCTCAGGAAATTAGTTCCAAGGAAAGTCTGGATACGGCTGCTCATGTGAGTCGTAAGGGAGAGTGTAACTGTTCCTGTACCCTCACCCTAATCCAGTTATTAGTTGCAGTTTTAGGCAAGTAAATTCCTGTAGTTTACCTGGCACAGAGAGATAGGAACTATCTAAAATGAGATTATTATATAGATAAAACTGCCACCCTTTATATTGTTTTCAGTCAGGGTTTCGTTCCCAACAGCAGCACATGAACCCTGGTATCTCGTACTCTACCACATGGCAGTGTAAGAAGCTAGAGGTGTGAGGTTACAATGAATCTGAAGACTAGGACACCAGTGCATGTTGTCCTAGGTCTATCAGTAGCTAGCCTTGTGATCTTTGACCAATCACTATTTCCCTAGGCCTTCGACTGTTCCCCTCGGTCCTATCCCCAAAGAAAGAACCCTTTATATGGTTAACTGGAAAGCATACATTTCATCTCTTTAATGACAAGCTTTCAGAATCCATGAGGTTATCATAAAGCAAGGCTTCTCAACCTCAGAACAATTGACATTTTGAGCTAGATAATTCTTTGTTGTTGGAGGCCCACCTACTAGATGACAGTAGCGTATATACATACACGCAGTTGTGACCCACTGTCATAAAATGAATAATTGATTGACATTATTTTAATATACCATTGCCAAATTTTTAGAAAATGTTTGTCGGATTATGCTAAAAGTAGAAAGAGTGTTTTTCATTTTGTAATCTGTCAATAAAAGAGAAGGAATGTATAATTAGATATGATGCTTACCTTTCACATTATTAAGAAACATGCCAAGGCAAAAAATATATATTCCTTCATAGTAAGATAAGCAAGAAGTGCCAACATACAGAATTCCAAATAGGAAACTAAATGTATATGGATATAGGAGAGACAGTCTATTGAAATTTCTCATAATATAGTTCTAAATGCGAAACCTAAGTGGCAAATGACCACATCACACTATAGTAACAGTTCATAAAAACGCATGCTAGGTTTCCACTTAAGGAAATATTTTATTTTAAAGATTTTTATTGGGGAATTGGGGGAGGGGAATAGCGTTGGGGAATCGGGGAAGGCGAACAGACAAGTTGCTGTCCTTTTCTTCTTCAGTCTAGTTGTGGAGGATATCGCTTCACTGGCCCATGTTGGTATTATCATTGCACTCTTCCCGGGTGAGGTAGTTGCTCGCCGGCCACTGGACGGCCACTCACGGTGGCTCACAGCAGCTCAAGCCAGCTGCCAGCTGCTCACACTGGCTTTCAGCCACTCATGGTAGCTTACAGCAGCCCACTGCAGCAGGGGCTTCAGCCTATACCGTTGCCAGCAACTCACGGCAGCCCAGCTCCAGGTTGGAGCTGTTGTTCACTATCTTAGCTGTAGAGGGTGCAGCGTCACTGGCACTAATGTGGGATGTGAACCAGGGCCCTGCTGCTCAGAGCTGGCATCCTAAGCCAGCTCCTAACCAACACGCCACTCAGCTGGCCCTTAAGGAAATATTTTAAATTAGAAGATGGCAACCACGTATACTCCATTTCCTCTGTGGACAAGGTATGAGACTTAACCTGAAAGCGAAGAAGGACTTAACCATGTACACATGGAACATTTCCCCAAAATAGGAAAGCTGGTCAATATCCCATGACCACAAAAGTGGCTCAATGGCCTAGCCCAGATGGAAGTAGCCTTGCAAACCTGAAACTAATGCAAACAAGAGTAAAGAATTCGCCTCTGACTTCTACCCGATTTCTAGTTCTTTAGGTGGAGTGACCAAACACAAAACTTGCTTTCCACTAGAGATTCGAAGCATTGTGTAGTGCTGCTTGGTTCAACAAGATTCCCTCCTCTTAATGCACACAGCCAAAATGGACTTCATATTTTCAACTGCAAAGAAGTAGGGCCTTTGCAGAGGAGGTTTCCATGGCAACCATCTCCTGCCAGTCCTAACTAGTTCCAAGGTTATGGCAGCCAGGCCTACATCCTCTCATTATGCAAAGATAGTCCCCATCTAACGTTGAATAAATCAATTTCTCATCTATTTCAGGAGAGAGCAAAGAGTTTTATTCTGTGTTTTTATCTGGTTTACCTTGCGTTGATAAAGCTTGTTATATTCAAATAGATTAACTTTTTAAACTGTATTGGAGCAAATAATTTGCTTTGCAAAAAGGTTTTTTTTTTTTGGGGTTTTTTTTTTTTTTTTTTTTTTTTTTGCTTTGTGAAAGAATTTGCCACAAGATTCCCATAAATAGCGAGTTTCCCTAGCATATTTAAATATAACTAACATACTAGGTTTCAGGAATACGTGTATTGAGTAAAATGAATCTTACCTGTGTGAATTTCAGGCATGGGTTTTTGCTGCTTCTTTTCATTTTTGGCATGTGTATTTTATGGGCACTCTTGCTAAGAGGATATGAGGAACATAGTTCCTAGATTTATGAACAATTTCTGGCAGCTAGAGAGCAAAGTGGCTTTATAAAAACAATGCAATCTGGGACCAAGTGGGGCTATCTTCCCCAGTGACTTGCATACCAATGAGTGGCAGATTGGATGACACTTTCAGGTGACATTAGCCCTACAATATTCTGCTAATAAAGAGCACCCTTGTAACCTAAAAACGTAATATGACTTCTAAAGATCTACTTCATGTAGGAAGATCTGGCTACATTTCAATATAACAAAATACTAGTTTCAATTAGTAAAATTCCTCTAATACTTCCTTACTTATAAGTAAAAGAAATTACAATGAGTCATCAAAAAGAATATAATAAAAGTTTGAAAGTTTAACTAGTTAAAAAAATATGTACCACCATAAATACATTTGAGATTAATCAAATAATTTAATCAGTTGACATATTTTTAAAAATTAGATAAAATGAATGACATAGACCTTTCCACAAAGAATGGACATTGGGTCAGGAGAGTGGTCTCAACCACATAACATTATTCTCATGGAGAAGAGTGAACATGTGACTGGGCCGCCTTACCTCCTATAGAGATGATGGCATCGAAGCCCTGATCCCTAAAGGGAAGATTAAGGTTGTCACATACCATGACTTCACATCCTCTACTCCGGGCAATCTCTACCAATGGCCCACAGTAGTCACAGCCCAGGGTATGAACCTGGCTGTTCACTTTAAGATACTTTCCAGTCCCACAACCTGTAAGAGAAAAACCATGTTACATCTACCCTTAACGGAGAATGGAACGTTGCCAGTTAGTCTGTTATAATGAGGAACAGAAATAACTTTATACTAATTAACCAGGACAGAATACAACATGGTGTGAAGGTATACACAACACTAAAAGAAAAGCCTTTAGAGAGCTCTTATAATTTTGCTTTTTCTTTTCTTTTAAATTAAAGTCTATTGGGGTGACAACGGTTAGTAAAGTTACATAGGTTTCAGGTGTACAATTCTGTGTACATCATCTATATATATCACATTGTGTGCTCACCACCCAGAGTCAGTTCTTCCATCACCATGTATTGGACCCCCTTTCCTTCTTCTACCAGCCCGCCTCTTCACCCTCTGGTCACCACTAAACTACTGTCTGTGTCTATGAGTTTTTGTTTCTTTTATTTGTTTGTCTTGTTCCTTTGTGGTTTTCAGTTTTATATCCTACATATCAGTGAAATCATATGGTTCTCGACTTTTTCTGTGTGACTTATTTCACTTAGCACAAGAATCTCAAGAATGGCAAGGAATGATAGGTCCCTAATATCCCAGTGACAGTGTCTAGTCTCTTTACAAAAGCGACCTTCACATACGTATTTCATTATGTACAGATCTATATGTTATGGCATTTTATTCTCACATTATGTCTCTAGACAGTCTTATTACCTACTGGCTATATAAAACAAACTACTGCCAAAAACTTTTAAATGGATATAAATAAAGTAATTTATACACTAAAACAGGCTTTTCAAAAATTTTAAATTTTAATTTGAATGAAAAAAAAGATTTCGACATCTTTTTATCCAACCTACTGTCAGTGCTGAGTTTTAAATAATCTTGCAATTAGTATAAGAAAGGGCTATTTTTTTTCTTAAATAGATCATTTTTGATATTCACTTTCCAGTGGCAGAGACTCAAGTAATTCAACATTTACACAGCCCAAAAGTTTAGATCAATCAGATCTTACTGATATTACAATGAAGAAGATAACATGGGTGAATAACCATGAGACAAAGCCTCCTACCATCTAGGACCCAGTATTATATTCCAACCAGACATACCATCTGATTCCTTTCCAGAAATATTTAAAGATATCAGTGGAGCTGATATTTGTACCTTGGGGAATTATCTATAGATTTTTCTGCCTGATATTTTTCTAAAATATCTACTGCTATTCAAAGATGATTAGTTTGCTGCTTCTGAAATACATCACAACACTGTTTAATAACTCTTTAACAGGCGCTAAAATTATATGAGATACTAAAAGCATAATTAAGGCTCACTGATGCCAGCTGAGAGCTGCCAGTGGAGAGCATGTGAATAAAAAATAAGATTTCTAACGTTATTATTTCAGTGTAAATGATTGGAGTCTTAGAAATATTTTAGATCTCATGGCCACTGTTCCTAAGAATATATATGTATCAGAAACATATGCTTATGAGAGAAAAATATTCAGTATTTATGGGGAAAACATAATTCACAAAGTGTTTTAAAATTGAAATCCTGACTATTACAAAGATGATGGCCATATTTTAAGAAAAATAATCTGGTAAATCCTTTACTGCTTTTATTTGCTCTGGGGATACATTTAGAGAAATGAAAGGGAAAATTACTTCAAAAATAATATAAACAGGTTTATAGACAATTAGGGCTAGAAAGAAGTGTTCAGAGAGTATCTGATAATAATGAGGAAACTGATGTCTTTTCAAATCTCAACATCTCCTGAAACATTTCCAGTGTCCCTGGCACCCTTGATTTATCCCATTTCTAATGGTATCCATTTTTAAGGATAGTAGTATAAGTCCCAAATATGATGCAATTATCCATTTTCTGAGATGCTAGAGGGGAAAGTTTTATCCTAGTGGGGAAATAAAAAATATTGCCAAGCCTAGTCACCCCACTATCATAAACGTGCAAGAAGTAAATCAGAACATTTTTGATACCGCAAGCTCCAGGACACAACACTCATGCTCTTTACAAAATCTCATTAAATGATAACCTTCCGTAGTGCTAAAGAGAGAGAACAGAGAGTGTCTGCTTGCTTACAGTCCCCTCTTTTTTGTATTCTGCACCACGCACATGTTGTGCATTTCTGTACTTTCTGTTGGTGATGTCACTGTTTGACATTCAGCACCATGCCAAAGTGCTGTCTAGGGTTCCTAAGCCCAGGAAGGCTGCCATGAGTCTTAGGGACACAATCTCTGGGTTAAACACACTTTGTTCAGGCATCAGTTACAGCTGTTGCCTGTGAGTTCAGTGTTAACGAATCAACTACACAAATAAGGTGTCTTTAAACAGAAACATACAGGAGACAAAGTTAGGTATTGACCAGTTGACAAAAATATGACCAGAGGCTCGCAGGAATCTAATTCTGCATTTCCCCTAGGGGCAATATCTCAGTATTCACTAATTCAGGGTCCATGGCAACTTTATAGACCGTAAGTACTGTGAATAATGACAACAACTGTATTTTATTTTATGATTTCTGACTTTTTTTGGTATCATACCTAGAAAGGCCTTTTGCCTCTGAGAATATTGTTTTATTCTTTTTAATCTTTTTATTACTCTTTTATTCATTTCTATTTTAGCATTTTAAAATAATCTAATTGTCATCTGGTCCTTTAATGGCTTCATTTGCTTATACTTAAATCGTTGCTTCATTTGGAATTTTTGATGTAAGGCATGAGAAAGCACACACACACACACACACACACACACACACACACACACACACACACTTGTCCTAAAGCCATGTGCTGAATAATTCCTTTTCCTACAAATTGATCCTGGTACATTGTTTAGATTATGGGTGATACGAGTTCCAAACTCACAGATTTATTTTTAAAAAATTGACATGATAGAGATATTTTCAAGGACTTTCCATTTCTACATGACATGCACCCCTCCCCCAAATTCCACCCTGCTTGCACCATTCTTAACAAGCCAAAAGCCCTGGGCACGTGTCTGTTTCCCTTACCAGTATTTAGAATAAATGTCAAATTAATGGAGTTTGTAACTACAGGCATATATATAACTAGAGTCATAACTCTTACAGGTGCAATCGGCATGAGTTGCTAGAAAGCAGGTTTAGGTGGGCAGGCCTCAGGTGGGAATCCTAACACATCTTAGACCTTACTGTTAGATCTACTGGGCTGTGGTTTATGACTTCTCTTCAGAAATATACTGAGCCAAAGTCCTCCAGGCAAATCAGTGATTACAAAGCCATAATCTAACTACAGATATGCTCTAATAAAAAAACACCTTGAGAATAGTTCAGGGAAAGGATCCATGAGATTAATAAGAGGTTATAGGACCTCATCTATAATCTCTGCCTCTCCCGTAGAAAGCATGAGAGCCCCCAGAACACTGCATTTACAAATGTGAATATCTCTAAATTTAAAATGGTCAATTTTAACAGTCATTTCAATCCTGATTTATTCAACGTCAAGTCAATTTTGTTGGAGGGTATACGCAAAGGCTCTGAAAAGATCTCTTTCAAATTTTTCAAAAATAAATCTGGTTTCTGTTTACATGTAGATTTGTGGAGGCTTTCTACTTTCTGACTTGGGTCAGAATGAATTTCTGCTATAAAGAGGATAGACTAGGTACTGGCCTGCCAAGGACACAATTTCAGGCTTCTGGTTAGAACCCAAATGGAAAATGAATCTGAAAAAGGAAGGCACGATGGAATGCATTTCAGACTATATGGCCCAGCCCCGGGTTACCTATGTCCGCAATGAGGCTGCCGGGCTTCTGGTCCTGGAGGAACTGGCGGACGCGAGGCCAAGCTTTGCTCTGCAGGTCGCTGAAGTAAGGGGCGGTGCTCTCATACACATCGTGCACGTGCTGCTTCTCCAGCTGGGCGGCTTCATGGTCCATCCTGGGAAAACAGGGCCACCCCAAGAAATGCAGATGGGACATGACTGAAGGAAGATGCACGTATCCTAACACTAGGAACCTACAACTGCCAAAGGTCACGCGGACCTTACACTTTCTTATAAGCTGCAAAGAATAAATCCTTCACCAGGATTGTCGAAAGACTAGAAAACACATAATTTTTACCTGCAAACCTCCAGAAAATAATGGTTTGGGAATGAGCTAGTTGTTGTCAGTTCTTGTGCAAGGTCGATTCTTAATTTTGCAAGCATACACAAAAGTCTTACCAGTGGTTCACTTTGGATAAAATTGTTCTATCTGATGCTAAATAGATTTTAAACATTTATAATACGCAGCTCACCACTCCCATCCAGTCACAAAGCCCTACTGATTCTCCCTTTTTAATGTCTCTGGCTTCCAACCATTTCTCTACATCCTTACTGATTCTATTTTAGAAAAACTGCTCATTTCTTGACTGAATTACTTCAACAGCGTGTAAACAGGTGTATTTTTGGCCCTTCAACCCCTTTCCTTCAATTATGCCATAACTATTTTTCTTAAACCTCAATCAAAGTGTGTTGCTTCCTATCTTAGACTTCTTCAAAGGCATTTTATAGCTTGTCTGATCAAGTTCAGGTCTCTTAGGAGGGCATACAAGTCTCTTTCTGATCTGGCTTCAACTTGCCTCTTAACGCCATGTCTCACCATCCTTCCCCAGAATTACATGAGTCTGTAATTCTCAGTGATTCATGGTTTGTTAGGCGAGACACATTCGCTCTCATCCGGGGGCCTGCAGAGATGCTGTGCTTATCCTGGCTAACTTCTGTTCATTCTTGCCACAGGCATCACCTCTTCCAGAAAGCCTTCTCTGACCTTCCATGCAGAATAAAGACAATCAGAAAGGAGTGGGAGAAGTACAAGAGCAGGTCTCAGAGGCCTCTGCTGTTTTGGGCTTAATCTTTTCATTATTCTCTTGTGGCATGTGAGTGAGGAGTAGCCTATAGAAGTGGCCAGGGGCTCAGGTTGTGACTTTTTACCAATCAGTATGAAAATATGTTCCATCATTTCAGAACCCATTTGGCCCTCCTGGTGCATATCAGCTAGTTCAGTCCTGCCCCCTGTGCTCCTGTTGTGCCCCATGCATGCCTCTTGAGACTATGGAAATGTCCCGTTCCTCCTCTCACCCACCAATTTTAGCATCCAATCCATTGATGACTCTTGACTTTGGCTTAAAATAATTATTACCGCAATTATCACCAAGTAATGACAGTAGTCCCCCCATATCTGCAGTTTTAATTTGTGAGGTTTAAGCTACTCACGGTCAACTACAGTCCAAAAACATTAAATGGAAAATTCCAGAAATAAACAATTCATAGGTTTTAAATTGTGCGCCGTTCTGAGTATCGTGATGAAATGTGTCTCCATCCCTTTCCATCCTGGGACATGAATCACCCCTTTGTCCAGCATCTCCACCTCACATCATCTCAAGAAGAAGGGTGAGTACAGTACAATAAGATTTTAAGAGACCACATTCACATAACTTTTATTACAGCATATTGTTATAATTGTTCAATTTTATTATTATTTATTATTTTTGTTAATTTCTTACTGTGCCCAATTTATAAATTAAACTTTATCACATGCATAGGAAAAAGCATAACATATATATATATATATATATATATATATATATATATATATATATATATATATGGGATTCAGTATTGTCCGTGGTTTCAGGCCTCCACTAGGGGACCCGGGGGACTATGTATTCTAATTCCATCATTCCTTCTACTATAAGGAAGAGCTTTTCAGGATTTACTCTTAAAACAAATTACCAGGAGGTTATCCTTAATTACCATGGACCTGCCCACAGTCCCAGCAAAAAAATCTGGCAAATTCTTAACAGAATACAAATCTCATTTGTGAGGTCTGACAAAACTTCCACCCAAATTGAAACAGTTTCTATTGCACCCTCAACTAGAATTTACAAAGTAAACATATGGCTGGCTATAACTGCCTACACACAAGAAAAACCCAAACACAGTGCTTTTTCTTTTTAATACAAAATCTCAGAAGACTAAAGTCTGTTCAAATTTTTTCCCTTCAAGGAATCAATCAGGCAATACAGTTTTGAGAACCCTAGAACAAATAAATTTTACTTTAGTTCCTGATTCTAGCAACAAGGTTGGCATTAAGAATTCATAGATGCTTGGTTTTCCTGTTCTGGGCATGTGATTAGGATAACACTTCTCCACCCTATTTGATTCAGGCACAACCATGTGACTTTCTTTGGCCATTCAAAGTAATCGGAAAAGATGTGGGTTACTTCTGGGAGGAAGCTTTATGAGCCAGTGGGTGGCTCACCAAGTTCCTCTGAAATCATGAAAGCATCAGCCTAGGTCCCTGAGTGACTACTCTTGATGGACAAACAGCATGGGTATTTTAAGCCAAAGAAAGGGAATAAACAGCTCATCATAGGAAGTTGAATACCTACCTACATAATGAAAAAGTAAAAACTATCATTCATATTTTATGAGAATCTGATAACTTGTTACTATGTGAGTTTTGTCCTATTTTATTTTTTATAAATATTAACATTTTCTTCTTTCTTATAGATAGACTTGGGAGGAAACTGAATACAGTTCTATATCCCACATTTTTAAATTTAATTTAATATTGTGAGCTAAGAAGCAACTTTTGCCTGTCGATCTTAAGTAAATGTAAACTTCCAAATCCCTAAATTCCACAGGACTTGAAATGTTTCATATTCTGCAAAGTATTGTAGTGGTTTATGTATTTCTTTCTAGATTCTGAACTTCTAAAGAAGAAACATTTCAGATACTTCTTTGTTTAGCCCATAGCATCTAACACTAGGTTTATATATAATAGGTCTAACCATATTTTTAATAAATAATGAAAAATGAAACCCTAGCCAATTAAACAGTATTTTAAAATTTTATTTTTAATAGTTTTATTTAGGTATAATTGACATAGAACACAATGCATATATATAAAGTATGCAATTTGGTAAATTTTGATAAATGTATGAACCTGGGAAACAAAGAAGACAAGATAGTGAACACAGACTTCACCCACCAAGTTTCCCTGCCGTTCTGTAAGCCATCCCTCCCCCCTTTCAACCTTCTTAATGCCATGTTTCTGGGCAAAGAAACAGGGATAGATGGGTGTGCATTGAGAACTGTATCCAATAGCCACAATTTCAAATGCAACTTTGATATTTGATGTAAATACAATACAATGACAGCATTTTTAATGATCATTGTAAAGCTACACACATACCACAAACTTGTATAAATAGTGAAAAATATTCAGAGGAGCTGAAAAGGCTTCCTGAGAAAAGATTTTCCCAGTGGCTCATCAAGGAAATGAGACACTGCACTTGTTACCCAGTGATCGAGGAAACTCTAAAAGGCCTCGCTTTTGTCCCCTGTAGTGGCTTGTAGTCCCCAGGGAAGAGTCACCATAGCTACATGTCCTCAGAACAGTGCCTATAGTAACCACTCCACCTAGGAAGTCAGCGCAGAGACTGAAGTAATAGGTGTTAAGCTCACAGCCCTATCACCAGGACAGACTTCTCTTTTGTTTGTGATGAGAATTTCTATTACATCAAGTTGTGAGTTTCTGCACCATGATTATCTGTATATTCAGGCCTCTATTCTTTATAGATTAGCTATAGAAAAAAAAATCTCTCCCAGGATTTCTGTATACTGCATATTTATTATCTCTATCACTGTTAGGGTATTTCCTGATACCACCTTAAACTCTCAACTCTGTATATGTTCCCAACTAGATTAGAAGCTCCTCGAGGGTAGGAACTGAAATTTGACCTTATATATATCATAGTGCTTACGATAGTGACGAACACAGAGCAGTCACTCAATAATTAACAGTAGAACCAATGAATTAATGAGCTGTTTCCTTAGCTCTCTCTACAAAACAACAGTACTTTACTCCAGACAAAATGGTCCTCCAGTCGTCAGTCATAAATCACAAATGCCCAGCTGGGGGCTGATAGGCACTCAGAGGACAGTAGGGCTTTTCCAATTGTGCTCTGTATTGCACGATTTCCTGCCCCGGAATTAAAATAATTAAAAACAAATATAAATATTGTAAATTGCTCTTCTATTATAAATGCCATACAAGACACAGTATTAAAAAAAGACACAGTATTATAAAACTCTGCTTTAAATTTTAAAGACATACTTAATAATTCTAGAGTAAAAATACAAGTTAGTCAGGACAGTTAAAAAAAAACTTAATTATAAAATATATAAGGTTCCTTTTTCTTTTAGCTTTTAATACGTGATTCTTCAAACTTAACATCTATATATTACTTCCAGGTACAAATTATACGGCAAACTTTTTTATGGCAAAAACTATCATTTGACAATGCTCTTTAAGTACTAGGAAAGCATTTTGCTCTCTAAAAAATACTAAACACCGTATATTCTTATAATTTTAACTTACCTTGTACAGCTATTTTCAAATTCTTTTTTCTACCTAGTGCAAAAATTAACTCCAACTTACTTTATATCACGTTGTCATAAATTTAAAATGATACATATTGGGACTAATGAGGTTTACTGAACATGGACACTGCCTAAAAACCTCGTATTATTTAAATTGCAGTAATCGTTGAAAGCTACTAACCTGAGTCATCCTTGTGATTACAGGAAAATTACTTCTTGTCTTTGTGAATCATGGCACTTTCCACCTTCAGAGAGTGACAGTTGTCGCTCATGCCTTTCTCAGTGTGCAATGCATATGAATAGTAGTAAGAGGGAAATCAAATAGCGAGGTACTTCACAGGATGAACCACTTTGTAGGAGTCTTTGAAGGGAATACAGGCCCTATTAGGAAAAAATACAAATACTAAATGTCATTTTACATAATTATAAATACTGAACCAGCTACAGCCCAGGTTGACCTCTCGACCTATCCATAAATTACCCAGAGAAGGGATTAGAAAGAACAGCTAATATGTGGAGTATGCCTGCTGTTTCTGAATTAATTCCTAAGCTTTCTCTAAAATATACAGTACTCTTTCCCAAAATTAAATTGAATGGTTTCATCTTGTTCCTGAAAAAATTACAAGCATGGAAAGTCAACTCTGAACTCCATAGCTTAATTAAATGTGCTACTGAAGACAATATTACTAAATTGTACTAAACCATCCCAGTACAATTTAACTGCCCAATATTTGTTCATATTATCAGCTACTTCCATGTCACTCTGACAAGCACTCCTAGTTATTCTTCACTGTTCGCATTTATTTATTTTGTTTTTTATAATAGAGCAGGCCTGTCAATGCAAACCCATCAAAAGGCTCTTAGTTACTAAAAACATGGACCTTGTATGCCAAAAAGCACTTTGTCATGCAGAGGTCTTGAGGGTATAAAATGAGATCTGAAGAGACCTGGGGCAGTACAGAAAGCCCGTCCTGTAACACCTCGGGCCTGATTCCTCTGTGTCAATGAGGCAGATGGACTTTACTCTGATCACAGTGTTCCACCATTTCGCCTAGTCTGCATCCCCTTGGTGCGTAACACCTCACTGCCATAAACTGGACCTCTTATTACAGACGGTGATTCTCAGGATGTTGGGGGGGTGCCTGAAACTTCCCCCAACTTGTCCCTACTCTCCATCCCACTCCAATCTGGGTCTCTATTTAAGAATCACTGATCTGGGTGTGCTTTGGAAAGCTTCTCTCTGATTTTTTGGAATATACATAGCCATTTTAACCCCTGTCATCTCTCAATCACATGCAGGTATATGATCTGCACAACAAAGGTTGACTTTTTAGGAAGACTATTTAAGAAGGGTCTTGAAGGAGCTATTAGTCAAAGGATCTCACCTTTCTTCATGTACTTTTAGAGCCTGCCTTACTCATAAAGAAGATACGTTTGTTTGCTGAGCTCCCCATGTTAGTCCGGAGCCTAAAGCCTCTCCATTTGCAATCCCCCTTCCATGGCCTGACCTGAGCGCTCCACTTGGCTGTCTATGCAGCTTGCCTTCAGGTATTAGCACCTAAATGAATCAGACCCCCTGAGAGGTTGATATCCAAGCTGGGGCTCAGAAGACAGTAGGGGTAAGTCAGGTGATTGGGAGTGGGTGAATCTAGGCATAGCAAACAGCATGTGCAAAAAAGAAGTAACATGACTGATTACAATCTCCTTGATGAAGTAAATCAACAACAACAATAGCAAGACATACGTACACATTATTGACTACCCTCCAGGCCATTAGATGCATTTAACATACAATATATTAACTCATTAAGTCTACCGAATTACTATACGAAATAGGAACTAGTGTGTCTCCTATTACACAGATCAGAAAACTGAGGCACGGAAAACATAAGCGACTTTCCAAGGTTACAAAGCTAGTAAGTGGCAGAGCCAGGATTTCAACCCAGAAAGTTAAGAGTCCAGAATTCACACTCTTAACTATACTGTTGGTGGGAAGGGAAGGCAGTGGTGCGATAAGAGCCTTGGAAGAGCAGGTAGGAGCTAAGACCACACAGGGCCTAGTTTAGCATTCTAAGAAGTTTGGGTTTTATCCGGAACACAATGGGGAACCACTGAATTATTTCAACCACAGAAATGACAAAATTTGATCTGAGTATAGACTCGTATTGCCTGGCCAGGTTCACAATGAAGACAGAGAAAGCATGATATTAGGTATGTAAGGACCAATACAAGAGATGTTAAAGAGAAAGGATCAAATTAATAGGAATGACTAAAAAAGAGTTAAGGCCAAGAGCACATGAAGGGGAAGCAGTGATAATAAGGTTGATATAGTAAGATACACCACCACCACTCTAAAATAAAGTGATAGAGAGAATGAAAGACAACAAAAGGAAACTTTGGTAATGATCATATGTAAACTATGGTAAACCCTTCCTTTGGAATGCCTCTGAATATGTTAAAGGAAGTTACTCAAGATTTATGCATCTGCAGGAAATGAGATAAGAAGGAATAAATGTTGGTAACTGACTTTGAAATGCCATAGTGATTAGTAACCCATATTTTATATAATGGTGTGGGCTGTTTGTATATGTCCCTTATGTTCTGTAACTGATTGCAGCATTTTCCAGAGAGGGACAATGTATATTATGATCACTGAGTCTTTGCTCGGTATTGCAATTTACTCAGTGCTCAATAAGTGTCTACTGTATAAATATGAAGAAAGGAATAGAAGAATTTTTAAAAGTAGCACTTTAGAAGGTGCGATGGTTCACCATCAGAGGGGATACATCAGAGGGAGGGTTCAGGCTTGAATATATTGCGTCTATGGTATCTGAAGGACAACAAAGTAAGATGGATAGGAAGCGAGGAGAGCAATCTGGACTAGAGATCATTTAAAAATCATCATTATCCTAGGACTTGGCATTTAGGGCCATGGGAGCAGATTGAATCAAAAGAGACTGTGCAGAGTAAGAAAAGGAATGAGGTTAGAATGTCAAGGATCACCAAAATTTAACCCTCATCCTTTAGTATTAGAGGAGAGGTTAGCCATGTGCTGCTATTAGAGCTCTACCATAATTAAATTTAAGTCAAGAAATATGGACTGAGCACCTCCCAGGCAATAGTTGCTTTGGTAGCTATGAGAAGAACAAAAACGCTCAAGAAGCTACAGGCTAGTGCAGAATAATGCAGAATAATAGCTGAATGACAAGAGTAGGTAGCAAGCGTATGCTTTATTGATAGAAAAGTAGAGATAGCAAGCAATATTAGCTTTTATAGTTTGGAGTGACAGTTTGACTCTGCGTATACTCCCTCTAAATAGCGAGGCGAGTGAAAAGAGGGTGCTGTTCTAATGAATATTCTCTATGCTACACAGAACTCCTTAATGATACACCAGAGAGATTATAGGAGAAATGGTAGGAAAGCAACACCTGGCATTTCTGACTGAAATCCTATGAGTAGAAAATTCAGGGCTTCAAAACCACACAATATGTAGTGCTGGGAGAATATGACCCTCCCTGGAGTCCCAGCAGGGACCAACAGGTTACCCCCAGAGTAACTATATGTGGAAAGAAATATGAGGGGGGAAAAATGAGGGGAGTTTATCTTAGGGAAAAGGGATCAAATATTCATCCCAAATACTTTGTTTTTCTTGAAAAATTTCAAGGATTGCATGTCTAATTTGACTTCATTTAGGAGTGAGGTATTATCTCCAATAACTAAATAAAAGAAATGAAGGTGATACCATCTGGGTGGGGACTGTGTGTGCACGCATGCATGGCAGGGGCGGGTGGTTACAGAAGGAGGAGACCATGGTAAAAAATGAGAATGAGCATCACAAGATTGATGATGAAATCTGTTATCAAAGGTGGCTCCTCCACAGGCAAGGGCTTGGCTATAGTCACTGTAACACAATTACGATTCATTTTGATTTTGTAGATTAGAGAAGCCTAGAAAAAAAAACAAGGAAATCAAATATGAGGTTTAAGAAAAGTGAAAATACAACAAACACCCAGCTTTCTCCAGGCATTGACTGTTGGTGTCAATTTGACCAAACCAGCTCTCAGTCGGTGTTGAGATAAAGGCAATAGGATCTGCAGCACAGCAGCTGGAAGAAGATTGTTTTGATATTACGAAAGGCAGCACCAGAGGAGAAACAGCACACTCCCCGTCCTCCCTCCTCTTAGGAAAGGAAGTATCAGCAGGTTGGGTGCTGAGGAATCCCACAGTCATTTCCCTGTCAAAAGCTCCAAGAAGGAGCTTTGAGAGGAAGACTGTGGTAGTCAGCTATAGAGCTATCAAGGTAGTCAGCTAGAGAACTATCAATCACGGGATGATTTTCTAAGAATGGAGTAAAGGGGAGAAATGTGAGGACGAATTATGCATTAGTGTATTTCATAAAATATTTTTAGAATACAATTGACCCAGAAGAGGCACTCATAGGGTTATTAATAAAAAGGAATCTGTATAGTTGAGGTTCAGAAAGAGTCAGTGTGCACACAAAGTAGAGTAAACTCTGGACTGTCGGATAGCTTATCCTGCAGATCCCACCTCTGTCTCACTCCTCTTATATGTCTCCCATCTCTTTCCCCACTGCCTCAGCCTGAGGTTAGGCATCGCAGAGCAGTCCAGGGACTCCCACTCTTGTGGATTTCTCATGTCCAAAAAAATCTCAGAGGGACATTTGGAGAACCAGGGGGACCAGCTGATTTGTTACTTGAAAGCTAGGACACACACACACACACACACACACACACACACACACCCTATTATTTATTGTCACCATTATCACATAGATGAATGGACAATTTACCCCCACAAAAGTTGGGAAATCAAAATACTGAATTAAAGAAGTCCTTTAAAATTGAATAAAATTTAGCGTTATGAAAAATGGACTAAACCTTCTTTAATTTTCTCATTCCACCACAAATTGATGAAAACATTGCCACAAACCAACACTGGAATAAAAAACTGAGTTTTGAGGCTCATATTAGTACAATGGTTTCCCGAACCACCAGTACCCCTGCCCTCACGGCTCTGTGCCCTGAAATTTACCCTCTACAGCATCAGCATGGTGATGTGTCACACCCCCTCTTCAGACTACAGAGAAAGCGCAAACACCTTAGCATGTCATATAAAGCCCTCTATGAGCTGACCCCAGCCAACCCTCCAGCATTTTCCCTTATGACGTCCCATCCCTTCCCCACTCCACACCCTACTAGTGCTACTCAAAGTGGCCAGTCAGCCAACAACTTCTTATAATGAGATAAGGACTGCACCACAATGTAAATCAATGATCGCTTCATTCATTGAGAAACTCTTGCTGTGATCAAGGAAAACGGAGTCGCCTGTAACTTAGCTGATTTACATGCAGGCACATGCTC